TCTGAAGAAATGCTTTGATAATTTGGCACTTCAATAAAAAGTACAACAAGGTTAATACAAGCTAGACAATAGGAGTTATATGCGCAATACACTCTTCATCATCAGCAAAAGTAGTTCGCAACCTTCCGCATGAGTTGTTGAAGCATTTGAATTAGTATTATTTAAGATCGTAGACAAATAATTGAATCCGCCCTTTTTAGATTCGTCAGTTGACATTGAGTTAGTACTACTGTAACTGTTTCAAAGATTTATTGCTTTTGTGTTTATCTCAATGTTTTAATAATATTGAGGCTTTCTCAGTGATTTAGTTTTACTGTGACTCTTTCATGAGACAATTTTGCTGCTGTTTTTATGTTGTTTTAGGGTTTAACGACATTTTCCAACACAAGATCGGCTATACATGGCGGCCAGTACAAATGGTGGAGAAAGAACAAGGGAGAACTCCTGAAAGAGCCATCAATTCACGAGAAGCTACTGGCAAGCTTCCTCACGTACCAACATTTACCGAGACTGAAACACCCCCATGGCTACTTCAGCAACCAAGGGTACTTTTCACGTTACATGATTTAAAACAAATGGAGACAAACCCTTCCATTTTCCACAACTGTTACCATTAAATCCTCTCACAATTTGAAAATTATACAAAAATATATACCGATGGATCAAAAGATGAGGAAAAGGCTGTTGCAGCCTTCGTAAGTAGAAACCACACAACAAAAATTCGCTTGCCAAATGGTACGTCAATTTTTTTCAGCCGAAATTACAGCAATAGACCTTGCTTTGCAATACATTGCAAGCAAGCGTATTTCAAATAGCATAATATTCTCCGACTCACTATCAGTACTTCAGTCACTACATAATAGAAAACTGGAGAATCCACTATTGGCTAATATTCTTGTTACGCACACTGAGTTGAGTATCTCGCATAATATAGTATATTATTGGTTACCCAGCCATGTTGGAATTAAAGTTAACGATAAAGCAGAGAACGCTGATAAAATGGCCCTATTATTAGAACCATCTGATTTTAAAACATCATATACTGATATTAAACGTGGTAGCAAAGACTGTTTACGTCAGAATTGGCAGGCATCATGGAATGATGCCTGCCAATAAAAATAAAAAACTTCATGCCATCAAGCCAATCCTAGAAGAATCGTCTCCTTCCTTCAGAGCCGACCGTAGGGAGGAGGTAGTCATTGCTAGAATTCGAATCGGCCATAATTATTTAACCCACTCCTACGTACTAAAAGGAGAAAACCCACAAGGATGCATATCTTGCAATGAATCATTCACAGTTAAGCACTTTATGCTAGAGTGTTTCGACCTCCAACCTACACGTAATCAATATTACAATGTGCAAGACATGAGGGAGCTCTTTGACACAGTTAGTGTTTCTTATGTTATAGACTTCCTTAAGGAAGTAAACATATATCATAAGTTATAACTTTTATGCTATCATCTTAAACATTTTTATGTGCTATATATGTTCGGTCGCTAGATTTTAATTACCTTTCATATGTTTTCGTTGTCATACATTATTTTTAATCCCCGTTTATCGGGAAGCTTTACTTTTTATCACCGTTACCATTTTTATCATTTCACCTTTAGCGATTTGGTTTCCTATTGCTGGCCGATACAGAACGTTTTAACCATTTGTATAAAATGAAAGATATAACCTTTTGTATGGCGCTAAATGACCTCTTTGTGCTGGTGCGCAGTATAATTCAACCAACCATCCAACCGAACCTGAGACTCAAACCCACGCAGACAGAGGTGAGATGGCAGTGATCCGTAACGGAAAGCGCTTTAGACCACTGGCCACTCGGTTCCCCAGACAATTTTGTGTTGTGCTGTTATTGACTTTATCCTTAATGTCATATGGGAAAAATATGCATCGACAAAAGTGTGTCTACCACAAGTCCCTTTAAATAGGTGAAAATACATTTCTCCAAAATAAATATTGTCATTCATATTATTCACATAATCACATTATTCACTTTTCCGTATCTTCTGATCACGCTACTATCCTAAACGTCTTCGTGTCCAGTATCTTCTTTTCTACCAATTGCGATAAAGGTCTTCGTGTTCAGTATTATCTTATCTACTTATAAAGCTAAAGTTAGAGAATAGTTCCTTTTTTCGCGTGCATATAGTACGAATGCGGCAAGAGGCGTGCAATATTGGGAAATACTGCACGATTCTCATAATAAAAGATAACGGAGAATGAAATGAGCATATAATAATGTCTGTTACAGCTATAACGCTAAACGTATTCGTATCTAGTATTGTCCTTTCCAGCTATAACACTAAACGTCTTCGTGTCTAGCACTGTTTGTTGCAATTATAAAGCTAAACGTTTTCGTGTCTATTACTGTTTGTTGCAATTATATCACAAAAGTCTTCGTGTCTAGTATTGTCTGTTACAAATTCTAACTCTAACGTCTTCGTGTCTAGCATTATTTGTTGCAAATTATAGCTCTAACGTCTTCGTTTCCAGCAATGGCTGATAAAAAAATAACTCTAACGTCTTCGTGTCTAGCATTGTCTGATGCAAATTATAACTCTAACGTCTTCGTGTCTAGTATTGTCTGTTGCAATCATAAAGCTAAACGTCTTCGTGTCTAGTATTGTCTGTTGCAAATTTATAACACTATGGTCTTCGTGTCTAGCATTGTCTGTTGCAATTAGCATTTTATTTTCCAATTATAATGCAAAACGATTCGTGTCCGGCATCGTATGTCCCAGCTCTAAAACTAAAAGTCTTCGTTTTCAGTATTTTTGTTATAGTTATCATGCAAAATTTCTACAGTCACTCCTTCATACCCATGACGATAATGTTGTAAGCACAATATCCGCTCTACTAATAAACCGGTCAAATGTTGATGACGTAATCCTGACTCACAAACAAAGGCCACGTAAAATATGAGCCTTCTCCGTTTTCTTCCACACCATTTTATAAACGATGAAGCGGTTTCTAATTTGACAAAATTATATCATCTTCGTATCGTATTAAACATAGACTGAGAGTTAGCTTCGTTTGCCGTAGGATTGAATAGCTTGTTAACAAGAAGTACTTGTAGCTACATCGAGATATAAATCATTTATCAGCAGCACCATATTTACACATAGTGTGCAAAAAGTTGCGGCATCTTTAAAATTACATCTGAGTTGAAGTATATTTGTTCTTTCGTGCTCTTATTTTACCATGCGACTACTTTTATAATGTGGTTCAAGTTAAGTTGTTCTTTATTATACGCGCATAAATATGCGTATAAACCGAAGAAATAATTAATACCATATTCCTAGTGAGGTCCCACAGTTGAAGACATATCATTTGTTAATTTTAATGATAATGACTGTATTGTGAAATTAATGTAATCGTTGTTGTCATAACATTTATACATTTTTGAATCTGTGCTAATATAAAAGCATTGTAAGAAATGATATGACCACTTTGAACATTTCGGAAATAATATAATATAATATAATATAATATAATATAATATAATATAATATAATATAATATAATATAATATAATATAATATAATATAATATAATATAATATAATATAATATAATATAATATAATATAATGTAATGTAATGTGATGTGATGTAATGTAATGTAATGTAATGTGATGTGATGTGATGTGATGTGATGTGATGTGATGTGATGTGATATGATATGATATGATATGATATGATATGATACGATAAGATACGATAAGCTACGATACAATACAATACAATACAATACAATACAATACAATACAATACAATACAATACAATACAATATAATACAATATAATATAATATAATATAATATAATATAATATAATATAATATAATATAATATAATATAATATAATATAATATAATATAACATAACATAACATAACATAACATAACATAACATAACATAACATAACATAACATAACATAACATAACATAACATAACATAACATAACATAACATAACATAATATAATATAATATAATATAATATAATATAATATAATATAATATAATATAACATAACATAACATAACATAACATAACATAACATAACATAACATAACATAACATAACATAACATAACATAATATAATATAATATAATATAATATAATATAATATAATATAATATAATATATATTGAAGTGAGCGCTAGTGTGACATAATTTGTGAAAATGTGTACCCCATTTTACGAATATCTATTGAAAAGGACACTGGTGTAACATACTTTGTTGGGATCATTTTCATTTTCTTTCATTGTTTTGTTTTTGCTTGTTACCTTCTTTTCTTTCTCTTTTAAATGGAGAAATACTTTAGACTATAAATAATTAATTTCGTCATGGTCTAGAAAGAAAATGTTTCCAAATTTTGATTAAACCTTCGTCCACTATATCAAATGTTACGACCATTTTGATATAGACCCTGAAACGTTACGAAGACGTGAACAATACTAAAGAGATTTTTTTGCCGTATGTGCACGTTTGTAAGTCGAGTCAAACTGCAAATTGCAAGAACCCATGTCTTCCAACGCATCTCCAGTGTTGTTCAGATGATCGATTATAATTAATAATCAGCTGGTTCGGTGAACTGATTCGCTAATCAATTGTGAAACTCCATAATCGATTGTTTAGTAAGGGAGACAACTGTGAAGCGATAGGAACAGACTAGTTCTCTCCCTTTGTTTCTTGGGAAGAAAGCTGATGATTCCGAACAAAGTGTGCGTGTGTGTGTGCGTGTGAGTGTGTGTATGTGATTTAGATTTTTAACGTAGCTTTCACATGTTTTCATTCATATTGCTACCATATCTGCAGTTTGACAGTATATAGTGATGTCTAGCACTGGGTCATCATGTTGCAGATATGTGGCATGATGTCAAAAATGTCACATTATCTTGACATCAGGTCGACCAATCCTAACCCTAACCCTTTAATGATGAGCGTAAAGCAAGGCTTCTGTTAGTATTATTTATAAAATTCTTTGGTATGACCCAGCAGCGGTTCGAACCCACGACCTCCCGCATCCTAGGCGGACGCTCTAACCACTAGACCAGTGGTCTCCAACCCGCAGGCCGCGGCGCCGGTACCGGGCCTTTCATCAAATGATACCGGGCCGCCCAAGGAACATTAAATTATTTCCATTATATTTACTGTGGTGTATAAGCTCTCGGATTTGTGCGACTTGCCATGGACGAGAGGTTACCCAGAAGCTGAGAGACGTCACATAAAGCCGTACAAATACCGTGCATGCGCAAAATATCTTGCCATCGGGGCGGTTTTAGGTCACGTCTGGAGATGAGCGGCTTTGGTGGAGAGAAGGTGTGTATCACTCCTCTCTGTTCACGGGTACTTGTTTAAGAGTGCTTTGTGTACGTGTATAGTGTGTTTGCTCAAATTTAACCCACAAATTAGCAAAAATGAGTACGAAACAGACGTCGTTAGAAAGTTACCTTGGGAAGAAGAAAAGGCCGAGTGAAGAGACAGAAGAAGAGCCTTCAACATCAAAGAAGCAGAAAACTTTCAACAGACATTACCATTAGTCCTACTTGAAATATGGATTTATCGGGACAGATGATTCCCACACACCAACCCCGCTCTGCAAAGTTTGCGGCGACCAGCTATCTAATGAAGCAATAAAACCATTCAAAACAGCTTCGCTACTTAAACGCCAAAGACCCTGAATTAAAAGACAAGCCATTGGCTTATTTTGAAAGAAAAAAAGGGAATACGAAGGACAGAATAAATATTTGAGGGCCACCACATCAATAAAGAAGAATGTACTGAGAGCATCATATTTGGTGGCTTATCGTATTGCTAACGCAAAAAAGTCATTCACTATCGGTGAAGAATTGATCCTGCTTTCCACTAAAGACATTTGCCATAAACTTCTAGGAGAGGCTGTTGTAGAAAAGATAGCACATGTTCCTTTGTAGGCTAGAACTGAGACTAGGCGAATTGAGGAAATAGCCGAAGACATTGAGGCACAATTCTTGGAGAGGATTTATACATCACCATGATACGCTCTCCGATTTGACGAATCTACAGATATCGACAAAAAGGCAATACTACTTGTTTATATGCTATATCTATATCAGGAGGATGTGCATGAGGATTTGTTATGTGTTCTATCTTTGCCAAGCAACAAAACAGGAGCAGAACTGTTCATGTCACTGGTTGGTTATATAAAGACAACAAAAATGGTCCTTTTGTGTCGGCATATGCACAGACGGAGTTGCTGCCATGACTGGAAGACTGTCTGGTTTAACTTCTCGGATTAAAGAAGTTGCACATGAGAATGATTTTATGCATTGTATCGTTCACAGGGAAATGCTGGCAAACCGAAAAATGTCACCGGAATTTAACAGCGTATTGATTGATGTCGTTAAATTTATTAGCGTCTGTTTCAGCAGCTTTGTGAGGGGATGGACGCAGATCACAAATGTCTTCTCTTAGACATAAATAAAATGGTTATTCAGAGGAAAATCGCTAACCGTAGTATTTGAATTACGAGAACCATTGCAAAGATTTCTCTCAGAAAAGAAGTTAACTTTGGCAGCACATTTCATTGACAAGGTATGGGTCGCAAAATTAGCTTACCTGTGTGACATATTCAGCCTGCTCAGTGAACTCAATCTGTCCCTTTAGGGAAAATGGCATCTTTTTTTCCAATTGGCAGACAAAGTAGCTGCATTTAAAGTCAAGCTGGAGTTGTGAAATACGGCACGTGAACAGAGGCATTTTGGACATATTTCAGACATTAGCGGGAATTTTAGGCGAGACTGAGCCTGAGTATTCATTCTCTCAGTTGGTACACATTTGCCTGTCTTTGCTTTTAAAAGAGTTCGAGCGCTACGTTCCAACCGCAAAAGACCCACGAACTGGTAAAGAATGGATCCACGACCCATTTGTCAACAAACTAGTCGAATCTAGCATGTCTGTGCAAGAAGAAGATCAAATGCTGGAGATTGATAATGGCAGCGGCCTTAAAATTACGTTCGAGACAGCAACTCTGACGGTGTTCTGGATTAAAGTCATGGCTGAATACCCTGAGATTGCCACCACCACACTTAAATCCCTATTGCCATTTCCTACATCTTATCTGTGTGAAGCGGGTTTTCTGCAGTGACAGCAACCAAAATATTACAACGGAATTAACTGGACATAAGCAACACACATTGTCTCGTATTACACCCAGATGGAACCGCTGCGTTGCAAAGAAACAAGTTCAGGGTTCTCATTGATTTAGCATTCTAGTGAGTTAAAATGACAAATGACTTTATATTCATTTTTTGGTGTAACTGTGTTTTATTTTGAAGGCATGTTTAAATACAATTAGTTTAAAATTATTAAATGAAACCAATCAAAATATAACAAATCAACGTCCCCTCTCCCTTTCCCCAGCGGGCCACGGTAAAATTATCAAACGTTGACCCGTCAGCGGCGATAAAATGGTTGGGGACCACTGTACTAGGTCACCGAAGCGGTTCGAGCAAAATCCGTAAAACGCTAGTAAATATTATGCACGTGATATGGGTGAAAATGATCCCAAAAGAAATAAGCCCATATCCTAGAGGTGCTCGTTCTCGTGTTTGGACCTACTTCGAAATTTACAAAGAACAAGAGGTTCCACCGACAAAGGATAGTTTAGATACGATGAAGGTCGTATGTAAACTCTGCATAAAGGAATATTCAAACAAAGGTAGGTCCATCTATTTTCTTTGAAATCAACGATGTGACACATTTGTTACTTTATATATTTAACCAAACACGAACTCCAATACATGCTGTTAAAAAGAAACATTATTCTAGCTTTGTTTTGGTGATAAACCAAAACATTATATTATGTAATCCGTCTTACGATGTAGGACTTTGTAAACAGTATGATATTAACATTCCGATCCACTGCAGTAGAGCTGAATTATTCCATTCATAACTTCCAAATAGTCATTTTGCATAGTTGGAAACTTTTATGACAATTGGGAGAAAACAAATATAGTCATGAACGAGAATGAGCACGCTAATATAAAGTAATGTGAACTACATATATATATATATATATATATATATATATATATATATATATATATATATATATATATATATATATATATATATATATATATATATATATATATATAGATGCAATAAACTGACGACGAACAGTACGAAACTAGTAACTAACTAGCCTAAGCGCTTTAGACTCTTAATGAGTCTTTTTCAAAGGCAAATACAAAACATAGTTACGACAAACAAATAAACACAAAAACGTTGTGTTTGTAAACCTCTACATTTCTATCTTCACATGTGCTAAAACTATAAATACAACCAGCTTGTATAGACTAGTTGCGGAAACTGAAAACGTTGTACAATTCCCTAAAAGTCTACAAGCCAAAGCGACATCTATTTTTATTTTGTGTACATATGTAACGCAGATTATATCCCGGATATTTGGTTCTATACCGGTTATTCTTATAGTAAAAATTGAAGGATAAGAAGATTTAGAAAATGTTAAATTCTACTAGTGCATAGTTTTCATTTTCTAGTCTTCTTGGTTTAGACCGCTTGGTTTCAATGTTCTAAGGCGGCGTATCCAGTATGATTCCTTTTCCTTCCTGGTTTCGGAACTCCAGCTGTGGTTGTTGGCAATAGCGATAAGTATTATATCACTGAAAGTGTGGCCAGGGGAGGAGAAGTGTTCTGCGACCGGGCTTCTGTACAGCTTTTTTGTCATCCAATCAGATCTATGAAGGTTTATCCTTATGTGTAGCTTTTCAGTTTCTCCCACATACTGAAGGCCACAGATCTTACATGTGATGAGATAAATCACATTCTCTGTTTTGCACGTTTTGTTTTTACCATGTATGTTTAGTTTTTCTTTAGTCACTGTGCTAGTGAATGTCTTGGTCTCTATCATATGTTGACAGGTTTTGCATCTTTTATCGCCACAGGGTCCAGATTGACTAGGTTGGTTTTGACTAGCGATTGGCGTTAGCTTGGCCCTGACTAGGAAGTCCTTTAGGTTTTTTGGTCTCCGGTAAGCTACCACAGGTTTGTTCGGAAGTATTAGGTTTAGTATGTCTGACGATTGCACGGTTGGCCAGTGGTTTGCGATGATTTTACCTACTTTGGGATTGTCTGGGTGATAGGTCAGAATAAATGGTATCCTATCAACCTTTTCTTTCTGTCCATATCTGAGTAGGTCATCACGGTTTGTTTGTTTGGCCCTTTGGATTGCCTCCGCAATCAGGTCTTTGTCGTAGCCTCGGTAAATTAAATGTTTAGCCAGCTCTTCAGACCTTTCTAGGAATCTTTCATCGTCGGAGCAAATTCTGCGTATCCTCAGTGCCTGGCTATATGGAATGTTCTTAATGCAGTGTTTTGGAAGACAGCTGGTTGGGAGAAGATACTGGTGTTTGTCGGTTGGTTTCGAGTAGATGTCTGTGTGTAATTTGTTTTCCACCAGTCTGGTTGTTGTGTCCAGGAAAACATGGTTTGAGTTGGAAATTTCTGCCGTGAATTTTATTGAAGGATGGAAGTTGTTTGCCTTTGAAATGAAGTCATCCAGACTTTCTCTTCCATACTGCCACTTCATTTCTATATCATCGATAAAGCGTACCCACTGGTATGGTGTACGCTCAACCGATGCTAAGAGCTTTCCCTCAAGTTTTCCCATGAAAATGTTAGCATACGAAGGGGCCATTTTAGTACCCATTGCAGTTCCATTGGTTTGTAGGTAGTTTTCTTCATTAAATTCAAAGTTGTTGAGTTTTAGGACAAGTTCCAGGAGTTGGATTAAGAAGTGTGTGGGTGGATTGTTTACAGTTCTTGTTTCCCATGCTTCGCTACATGCCTGTAACCCTTCGTTGTGCGGTATGTTGGTGTACAAAGATGTGACGTCTAAGGAAGCAAGTAATGTATCTGGCAGTAATGGTTCACTAGCTTTGCTTTTTATGAGATAATCTGTCGTGTCTTGAAGATATGATGGTAATTTGTGGACATGTGGTCTCATAAAATGATCTAAATATTCTGATATCCTTTCTGTGGGGTGCCCGTTACCTG